ATTACATCGCCTTTCTCCCGAAGTTCAAACTTTTGAATGAAGCTACAAAGAGTCTATGGCTTTTAGAATCCTAACGCGTCTTTTTGATTTTCTCTAGCGCTTTTTCTCTGAAAACATAAACTAAAAATAGGAGATCCCCAGAATAAAATGCAGTAAAAGACAAAACATAGAAAACAAGAAGCACTAACCGATCTCCTTCGGTTAATAGATAGGAGCATGAAAGTTTTAAGCTACAGGGCTTTTAAAAAATCCAAGTAAACTGATAAACTTTGGTCTTCCTTCAATGAAGGTACTCAGTCTGAGTCCCAGTCCCTCGCGTCTGGGTTAGGCGCATTGTTGTAAATTGGTAAGCGTCCGTGTCTGATTTGATAATCTTCTAATAAATAATACACGATTTCAGGTGGGTTCAGACAAGTAAGCCACCGGACTGCGATATTTCTCCATCGTCGTTTTCCTGGACCACTCAAATATCTGCCGATGGGAAGTCCATCATTCCCGCTAAAATGAGCGTTTAGACAGTCCCGGATGTTACTGAAGTAGGGATTTCCACCAATGTAGATGATCTATTAAGATAAGCACCACCGTTAATATTAAGCTGCGAACAAAGACACGAATTTAGTTCAATATTATATGAAATGTTAAATTGCCTTTCTAGATCTATCTCAGTCCAATAACCTTTTCCATCCATACTGTCTTTGATATAATTCTGAGCCGAGAATGTTTGAAAGTCATGGAGAGTCGACCAGATCTACTTGCATTCAGCCGAAAGCAGGAGTCATAGGCTCCTGGCTTATTGAAGATCTAGCGGTAAGGTTACCTTCACATGGCACTGGAACCATTCAATATTTTTGCTCTGATCACTCACGAAACTGACGAACAAGGTTGAATTTTAACTTTTGTCAGAGGATTTACCATCTGCTCATGCGCAGGTTACTTCTAAGCAAATCCAAAATGGCATCTCCCAGCTAAGTTAACACGCATCCATGCCATTGCCCCTTGGCCGTACAAACTTTTAGACGGTTATTGCGTTCACACCGCTCCGGTCAAATTTATGTTTCAAAAATTTTGACGGTAATGGTGTTCACATTGCTACGGTTAAATTTGCGACCCTACCGATTAAAAATTTGCCCTCGAGTTTAGCGTTCCAATTGTTGAACGTATACGCGTAGGCGTTCAAATTTTCGTACGGTTAGCTTAGAGTTCCGTGTGAACGAAACACCTAAACGTACGAATATTTGAGCGGTAGAAAATTTTTCCGGCACCGTGTGAACTCAGCCCCAGTCTCTTTAGCATCTCTTACTCCTTGATAATAAAAATTTCACCTCATTATTCCTGCAAATTTCATAAACGCCAGACATTCTGGCGCCATCCTGTACATTAAAGCTTCTAAGAGCGCTGTGAAGAGGCTGTAGATTCATTTTTTCACGGTAAAACTGGACAATTTTAAGATGATCCTGATCCACTTGCGTTTCTTTATGTACTGAGTTTCCTTGAGACCTCTTCATCTCTGGTAATCGAGTTAACTATATTAGGCAAAAGAAGATAACGTGCCCTTCAGTTTTAAATATACTAAAGCTTGGAATTGTATATAATTTTTTGGTGTTGTTGTTTTGTCAGAAATCGAAAGATTAATTTTGAAAGCAGTCAAGTGATAAGAGAGCTTGATTGTATCCTAGCCTTGGCAGTCTATGCAAGAGAAAAAAAAAATTGAAAATGCAACCGTACGAAATGAAGTAATGATCCGGGTAAGGTGGATAGCAATTTCTTTTGTTATGCGGCAACGGTGCTTTCCCCACATAGGAATGTTCTCATTTTACACAGAGAATGCATAAACCTACATGAAGGCCGTTTACGCAGTAAAATGCATTTACACTCCACTTTGAAAGGGTGCCTTTTTTGTGTTAAAAGATTTTGACCAGTCACAAGAGTTGAAAACAATAGCCAAGAAAAGTTTACAATTTTACATGTTCCCCACATAGGATTTCTTTGTTATTCAAACTGAGACCAGATTTTGTTATATGGAAGATGGTTGGAAAGTAAGGATGAATATATGTACCGCTTTATGATGTTTTGCTAACTTTTGCTGTTTAAGCCAATCAGAAGTAAGTACAGACAATAGAAAAGTTAGAATCTTTTTTGCATTCCAACATGTTCGTTGCCGTTGTTGCTATCGTTCTTGTCTGGACCGTTTCTTAAAAATGAATCCAGCG